GGAGTTGTCCCCAAGAAGCCCAGAGGCACGGGGAGCAAAGCCACAGCGGCAGCGGGGTCCCGTGCCTCTGAGGCTTTGCCACAGCAAAGCCTCAGAGGCGCGGCACCCTGCCGCCACTGCCGCTTTGCTTCCAGTGCCTCTGGTCTGCTGGGGACCGTCTCCAGCAGACCAGGGACACCGGGAGCAAAGCCGCAGTGCCGCTTTGCTCCCAGTGCCTCTTGTCTGCTGGACCAGCAGACCAGGGGCACCTGGAGCAGCTTTTCTCGCCCCAGAGGTCGAGGTGGCGGGACCGCTGCGCTCTGGGCGGTCCTGCTGCCTGCGAGCTCCGGGGAGAGAAAGCCCCGTTCGTAAGTGCGGATCCGACATAAGTCGGATCCGCGTAACTCGGGGACTGCCTGTATCCAAAAACAACAAGCAGGTCTGTGGCACCTTAGAATCTAACACACGTATTATATCATGAGCTTTCATGGATAAAACCTTTTTCATCAGATGAGTTTTTAAAGTTACAGACTAATAAGACCACCCCTGAGACTAAATTTCCAAAAGTAATTCATGAAGCTCAATAACTCTGTTCAGTAATCCCAGAGTTTCTAGCTTCACATTTCAAAAACAACATTGTGGTATGAGTGAACAAGCTGGAATGTAGGAGAAAAAGGTGGCTAATTATTTTTTTAAAATATAAAGTATTCACACTCCAATGAGTTTGTGACAGAAGTGGAGCTGCTTGGTAATACCTAAGAAGAATGAGATGCAATAATTTTATCAACAATGCAACCTGATCAGTGAAGGAATGTTATTGTCCAATTTTGGTGGTTTATTAGCATTCCCTATACGACGACATCAGCCTAACTTAACGGGGGGAGGGTGGTAAAAGCAAACAAGAAAGCAACACAGTAGATTTAGATAAGAAGCCTCAGTTTAATGGTATAGTTTAGATATTAGTTAAGTATTTGGGTCCATCATTCATGGGAAGATTTATAGAGAAAGTTATTCATGAAGATCAGGTATGTTAATGAGTGGAAAATATTCCTCAGTATGTCAGTACAGGTTGAGCCTTTCTGGTCTGGCACCCTTGGTACCTGACTGGTGCTGAATCAGAGAATTTGCCAAAGGTCAATATTATCTAGCAGCGTCACCCATGCTTCCTCTGCTTACTGGGCTCTTAGAAGACATTTGTGGCACTGATGAGGTAAAGGGGATTTGCGTGAGCCCCTTGATAACAGCTGGCATTTGGACTGGTAAAAAAGAATCTTACTGTAAGGGGGTTATTTAAATGAACACACTTAACACTGTTCCTTGCACAGTACTTCAAAACTGTTAACTGATACAAAATCAGTTCTTAAGACTGGGGGAAAAAAAAGCCTGCACAGCATGTCCGCTGCAGGAGGCTGGAGTTCTGAACATTGCTATATAAGCCAGTATAGTTTGTGACGCACCCCACCAATTATGCCCTTAGCCCTTCCTACTGTCCTTTGGCAAGACACAGACAGGTGAGACTCAGAGACAGAAACTGGTTACATTTGGGTGCAAGTGATAAAATGAGGGTTTTGGAACCCACTCCCCACTTCTGAGCATCTTTGCTTGTTAAAATGTTCAGTTCTTCTTCGGGTAGTCCCCGTGGGTGCTCCACGTCTGGTGTCGGGCTGGTCCCGGCGCCGCGAATCGGAGCTTGCCATAGCTGTAATCGACCGGGTCGCGCATGCGCAAGTAGCGTTCGCGCCTTTGATCAGCCGCGCGCGACCCGGTCCCCGCCAGTTCCTCTCACCGCCATCTGAAAAAGATAATAAAAAAGATTCCGTAGCGGGGAGGAGGGCGGGTCGTGGAGCACCCACGGGGACACACCTCGAAGAACCATCGTTACTGCACCGAAGGTGAGTAACCTCTTCTTCTTCTTCTTCGGGTAGTCCCCGTGGGTGCTCCACGTCTGGTGTCGGGCTGGTCCCGGCGGGAAAGAAAGTGAGGACTCTAATAATAAACAAATACAATAAATATACAAAATATTCAGAGAAATTAAAACAGACAACTATCACTCGCAGACAGGGGCGCAGGACAAGCCCCCTCAGTACTTCAAAATGCCGGGCTCTCCCAGCTTCAAGAAATGTTCTGTCTGCAGGGACTCTATGCCGCTCTCGGACGGCCACTCTGCCTGCGTCCGCTGCCTTGGGGAGGCACATATTCCCCAAAAGTGTGGGCACTGTGCCAAACTGACAGCCAGAGCTCGTAAGGAGCGAGAAAGGCGGCTGAAAGAAATCCTATTTGATAAGGCATTGATGCCTTCTACCTCGGCAGGATCCTCTGCCTCG